CTGCTGGGTGTGTGATACGTTGAATTTACTTTGCAGGTACTTTGTTAGTTAATGAAAGAATGCTAGAGTCTTATGTGATTGCAAGAGATCGATTTCTACTTCCAAATGGAAAAATGTTTCCTACAGTAGGAAGGTAATTTTCTTTCTTTCAACACTCAACAGTTGATTCTGAGGAGTCTTGTCTTGTCAAATCATTCAGGAAGTTAATAGTTTGGTTATGAGGTTCTTTTTCTTTTTTCTTTTTGATAAGTAGTTTGCTTATGGGGTTATTTGTGTCTTACTCTTGTTTCCCAAATCTGGCGCTTTACCTTTTTACCACCAGGCATTTGACACATTATCTTTTAATAGATTTTTGTATCATAGACTATTTTTTTCCAGCTCAAGCTATCAGCTTGCTCCTCTGTGAATCATTTAGGAGGTCGGGTACAATGATATAACTAACATTGACTTGCAAAACGTGGGAAGCTCAGTTGTCTACTTTATTCTCCTTTTTTTACTTGAGCCGAGCTTTCAAGCTTAATTCTCAGTTTGGTGTCCACGAATATGTTTCAATGCAGCTGCTCACTGTTTTTATGTTTTATAGTCATACTATTCAGTTATCCAACCTGCCTCTCCCCCAAATCCAATCTCCGAAAAGAAGACCTTATCCTTTTTTTTATAATTGCTTTTACATGTGTTTCGAACTTCCTTGAAAAGCTTATTCTTTCTTTTCCAATTGCTTTTACATGTCTTTCGAATTCTTTATTAAAAGAAACATTTTGCACTTCTCCCAATTCCCTCCTGAGTTTGTGCTACATAAACTAGCATGTAACCTTTTCAGTTTTTCCTTTTGCTCTGTGGTTTGTTATATGACTTAATTGTCCGAATTCCGGCTTATGTTTCTCTTTATTTTTGTAGAATACACGTGGCACCATTCAGCGACGAATATTTGTATATGGAAATTGCAAACAAGGTACATTGGATATCACTGTCTTCTTGCTCTCTGGGTCTATCTCCTCTATGACACTTTCTTTCTAAACTGGGTCTCTCCCCCTCTGGAAGAGGATGTTGGGTGCTATATGAAGAGGAGTTCCTTTCACAAAGATCTCAATGTCTAATTTTTTTTCTGTGTTAGTGCCGTAAAAATATTTCAATTGAAGGCTTATTTTTTATTTTATTTATAGAGATGAATCTTACATTAGTGATTATATTCAGTTTCATTGTGAAAAGAGTTTAATTTTAGTTTAACTTTGTCATACAGGCTATTTTTTGGCAGCAACAGGGCTATTTTGGGGTTGATTTGACACCCTTGCAGAGATCTGCATATGAAGGATACTTTTCTCAGGTCAATCTCATACATATTAGGAATTTATTAACTCAGCCTCCGAATTATTCACTTTGACTTAGTAAGCATTTAAAACAGTCTTAGTTGTTTACTTCCATAGTCCCGTGTTGTCCACAGTCTTAATGTTGTTTGGTTACTTAAATTTGTGAATGTGCAGTCTATGCTAAACTTTTAAATTTTACAATTCAACCTTCAGAATTTCAGACAATGCTTCATAAATGCCTATATTATTGAACAATTTTTATTTCTTAGAAAGAGAAGGGAGAACATAAACAAGTTTATGCTCGAATAATTTCTTAATCATTGATGGACTTTGATGGTCCTTAATTTGATGTACTGTATTAAGAAGCATCTTTCAGCATCCAAGTTGAATTTCATAGTCAAAGTCATAGTTGTATGTGCTGAACCTCCCCCTCCCCCCGCCCCAATGTCATGTATTTAGTTTCCTAAACTTGAGAATAGGTGTTAGAGAGAGGTATTGCTGTAGTTCATTACCAAGGTGTGGTAGAAGGGGCTAATTTAATTTGATTGAGCTTTCCTATACCAGTTGCATTAATAAAATAACTGTTCACTCTTTCAAATGCAATAATTAGTAATGTAATAAGATGCAGTAGATATTCTCATTAGCTGGAAAGAATTGTGATGAAATACTTGTAGCTTTAATTCTTAGGAAGGGCTCTGTTTGTGGTATACTTGGATTTCTCATCATCCCTTTAAACGTTGTTAGTACAGGTAATTTATTCTGTCTTTAATTTGGATATTCATATTCTTTGCAGCCAGTGGTTGATGCTTTTGATCCGAGGTTATTGGTAGCTCCTGCAATATCTCACGTGATTAACTTCACTTCGATAAAGGTATTATCAGAAATTTCATTCTGTAGGTTGTTCGTAGATCATAGTTGATAGAAACATCCTTTATTCTATAGGCTTTTACTATCAGTTTTATTAAAGGCGCGCTTAAAGCGTGCTTAAGTTCTGAAGCGAGGCTCAAAACATGTTGAGCGCTTGGCCTCGCTTAACGGGCGCTTCAGGTGTTGTCAGCAAGGCTCTAAGGCATACTTTTCCTTACTAACGGGCGTAATCCGGAAGAGGCGATACTAAACAATTAATATTTCACTTTATCGTAAATTTTCTTCAATTTCTTTTTCCATATATTTGGTATTCATGCTTCTAGATATTAGTCTCGGACTACGCATACATATTTACAGTTTTTCTGCATTTGCGCCTTTCTTCATTAAAGCCCACGCTTTATTTGCGCTTTGTGCTTAAAGCCCCAACAGACCTTTGCGCTTTTCGCCTTTGATAACACTGTTTACTATATGTTTTTCTCAACGAGTAAAGGGCATCCTCCCAATTCAATGTTAAGGAATCTAAGACAGTTTTCTAATAAAAATAAAAACTTTTTTCACAAAATAAGAAAAGCATAATCAACAGATATACAAAGTTATTGGAAGCAATATGCATAAATTAGCTGTTCTTTCTACTTTGCGGATCAGTATCCACTATATACGTGCTTTCTTGTCTCTTAAAATGAACAAAGTTCCTATTTGTGGAGTCAAGTTTGATAGGGAAAAATTATCCGTGGTGGAATTACTCATATATGAGGCAATGGTTTTGTTGAAAAATCAGGTCATTTAGCAAACTACATTCTTGCATTGTACCAGTCTCTGGCCAGAAGTTCTTGAAACATACTGCTGGGTGAATGATCTTTTTCTACATATATATTACAGGAAGAAGATCTATATGAAATTGACATCCCATTGAGATTTACATCTTCTGCTAGCACTAGAATTCATGGGCTGGCTTGCTGGTTTGATGTACTTTTTAATGGAAGGTAAACTTTTGTTATTCTTGCATCCTTGGCGGTGGGACTTGTTGCTATTTTGCAGTAAATTGCATCATTTCTTTCTGCAGCACTGTACCGAGGTGGCTGACCACGGCTCCTGGCGCACCTACAACTCACTGGTATCAGCTTCGGTGCGTGTTGTCACAGCCACTTTATGTCATGCCGGGACAGGAGATAACTGGCCGCCTTCGCCTTGTTGCCCATAAGGCACAAAGTTACACAATTTATCTAACATTGTCTGGTAGGTCTTTATCGTTATCGTTTGTAGCAGTTGTATCGTATCTTCTTGGTCTCTTTGTCCCATGAAGTCGAATTTGCTGATAGATTTCTTCAAGAATTTAACATATCATTGATCAATTTGAATAGCTACTGTTGGAGATGTGCTCCAAACATCGTCTGGAAAACTTGATCTGAAGGAACCATATTACCGGATGTCCCAACCACAGGCATATTCATTGGCACAAGATCAACAACCTAATCAGCTATTACAAGCACAGGTATTGCTTATTTTTCCATCATAGTGGTTAAACAATGATTCATCTGCCATGCATGTCTAACTTGTCTGAGTTTAAGCTGTAAGTTTCCCAAGGATTTGAAATTACCACTAATTTTTGTGGTGCAGCAAGATTCTTTTTGCAATTTATAGATGTACATTGTTCCGACTTTTAATAGATAATTATTTCATATTCAGTATTTGTAGGATAGCTTTCATGCCAATATTTTTTTGCCATTAATTTTTCTGTGATTGCTCAGTCGGAGTGATGATCACAAGTCGCCTTTTCTGTCATGGACAGGACATACTAACACAATCTCGGGATGAAGATGGCTCTGTCCCCGTGCAACATCCTTCTCCAAATTCTGTCGCAGAGCTACATTCACTCTGATGGTGGAATCCAATATAAGGGATGTGCTTCTCGATACTCTCCTGTTTGTATCATTAGAGTACTTGGCTAAGCTAAAGCATGCAAATTTTTAATCCTGCCAAGTTCCAACTTAACCGTATTTACCTTGATTGCTTGTAAATCGTCGTTCATGTACTATCTTTCTTGTTTTTCTTCTTGCATTAGCACTCTCAACCTGACCATGTAGGATGCTTTTGTATCCAGCTTGATATAAATGGCTATTTCAGCTGTGCAAGGCTCTGATGATCCCTCTTTGCTGGATCTACAGGTTAGATGGGTTCGGTGTTCCTATTTTCCGTGTATAAATATTACTTAAGAAAATTATAGAACTCGTTTTTTTTCATTTACACAATCTCCAAATGCAACAAAATCGAAATGTAAGGAAGTTGTTCCACTACTATATACATTGAACTAAGAACATGGTCCAGGTGATTTATACGTAAGAGACGTGGTATAGTAGCCCATGGGAAAAATATAAACTGGAGTAGGAACATTTAGCTTAAGAATCTAGCAAACCAGTATGTGAAGATGTTACTGAAGTCTGAGCGTTTGTCGGCTTTGCTTTACTATGATGTAAGTGAAGATCTCGACTAGACGATTGACTTTGGGGTAGCATCTATTATGTATTTGGCTCCTCCCATTTGTTTCTTGTCTCCATTTCTCCGAGTTCTTAGGTTGATGGACATGCCCCACGCTATAATTTGTTGTTTAGAAACTAGAAAAAGGGTCTTAATGATGTTTAAATATTGATTGTCTCCATATTAACTTTGAGAGTTCATACAGCTATAGCGCCCAAAATTATATTCTCTTGAAAAATTTGGCAGGAGAGGTAAACTAACAAAATGTTTCCGTGGAAATCAATGTTCTGTGACCATTGTTAGAGCAAACACAAGAAGGGGAAAAAACAGAGAAAAAGAAAGCAACTGTTAAGAGTGGTGCAGATGTAGTGTGAATATTTACACAAGGAGCAAAAATTACAAACTAAGTAGTTACACAAAAGTAATTATATACATGAACTACTCCACTTTTATTCTCTCTCTCTCTGTCACACACACATTGATAAATGAATCTTGGGCCTAACTCAACTCCAAAAGCTAGCTTATGAGGTGAGGATTACCCAAGACCATATAAAGAAACCAAGGACCTCAAATCCTACCGATGTGGGACAACTCAACACATGCACGCAGGCACACAACACACATTTACATATAACTCTCTTTTATTACATAAAACAAGCGGAAATCATAGGATTGTGCAGCTATTCACATTCTCGTCGCTTAAGATGTTGTAATAGGGTTGAGGCGTTGCTGATGATGGTGGCGATGGTGATGGTGATGCCTTATAATTGTAGTCATCTGGCATAGGTGGAGCCGAGGGAATATTATCATTTGACCATATTGGCCCTGAATTGCTATTTGCATAACAAGAACCATAACTAGTAGTATTACCATATTGGCAATGACAATTATAACATGAGTTTCTGTTATGTGCACAATTATTACCATATTTGCTATGGTAATAACATGAGTTTCTACCATGTGCACAAGGACCCAAACTAGTAGTATTACCATATTGGCAACAACCATCAAGATTATGACTTACAGCAGAATGACCACCACAACATGATGAAGAAGCAGCACAAAGTCCACCACCACTGTGGGAACAATCATGATTATGTGTAAGCACTTGATCTTGATGTTTTTTCACATTTTTGGTGGTGGTAGTAATTTCCACAATTTTGTTACTAGGGACACCATTTCTTGATTCCCCTTTGAAAATCAACTTAATGGTTTTGTTCACCTCTACAATTTCATCACTGGGGTCAGTAAATTGCTCTAGTTGTGCCATAATGTCAGGATCATTTAGTGGATCAATCACTTTTGACCGCGTTACAATATCTTTACGACGATGTTCTTGTTCGCACCAGAATTCTGCTTCTCTCCCAACCTTTTCAAGCTTAGTTAGGATTTTTGCAGGGTCTATTTTGCCTGAGATGATCACTTTCCCAAGTTTTTGATCAATTTCCACTGAACGAACACCCTTAATGTTTTGCAGCTCGTTTTTCAGTTTCTTTTCACAATCCCTGCAGTGTACTTTCATCTTGAGAGCAAAGGTGTTGAAAGGATGTGACATTTTCCTTATCAGCAAATATGTTTTCTCTTTTTTTTTTTCCGTTTCTTCAAAAATAATATTCCTGGGGCAAAAAAGGCAAGAATAGATGAGAATTCGGTATTAAGATAACTGAAATTTGAAAATATTATCCAATAGAGAAATTTAAGGAAAAAGATATTGGCAGTGTTACAACATTGTATCTTGTAAACAAAAATGCACAAATTGGAAGGCCGATTGCCGTATTATTTTGTTGTCAATACTTTTTTCTTCATTATTATCATCTTAGCTATTTTACTCTTGTATTTTTCAAACATGTTTTGAAAATGCTTTTCTTGATCCGATGGTCTATCAAAAACATCTGGGGCATTTGCATCTATATCTGCTTTTTGTGTCACGTTTTAACTTGTGCCCGCTTTGCAAAAAAAAAATTGCAAGCGTACCCGCTTTTTCGCATAACTTCAACATATGAGGCTGAAGTAGCAAAGACAATTACGCAAAACTTCAGCATTCTAGTAGCCGGGCCTGAAGTTCAGCTCTAGAGCTAAAGTTTTTGTTTTGTAACTGTCGAAGAGCTGAAGTTTTTGTTTGTAATTGGCGAACTTCAGCTTTAGAGCTGAAGTTTTTGTTTGTAAGCTTTCAGCTCTAGAGCTGAAGTTTTTGTTTTGTAACTGAGAGCTGAAGTTTTTGTTTGTAAGCTTCAGCTCTAGAGCTGAAGTTTTTGTTTTGTAACTGAGAGCTGAAGTTTTTGTTTGTAAGCTTCAGCTCTAGAGCTGAAGTTTTTGTTTTGTAACTATCGAACTTCAGCTCTAGAGCTGAAATTTTTGTTTGTACTAATATTTTACTTGGCTAATAATGCAGACAAAGCGTCTCAGACACCATCATTTGCTATTACAACTGTTTGAACAAAAAAAAATATTAAAAGAAAGCTTGTGTAGCATTAAAACATTAAAAGATTCAGACACATTTAGAGGCTTTCATTCAAAGAAAAGAATTTCTTCACAATATTAGGAGATTTCAGAGGCTCTGGGAAGCAAGAAAGTGAATTGTTTCAATTAAAATAACTTTCTGTTTACAAATATTACATAAAAATTTACTTTGATTCAACAATCATGTACTATATGGACAATTCAAGCTCCCTCTTCTCTCATTATGAGTAATTGAAAATGGAAAGTATGACTAGACTATCATAATTTGCTATAACTTTTTCAATACAAAGGTTCAAAAAGATATTAGGTCATTCTGGGACGCTTTGTAATAGCAAACAGTTAAATTTTTTTGCATTATTAGGTCAGTTGAAAGAATATTAATTGAGACAAAACGAATAAGAAATAATCTGCACCAACAACAGCAGAAGAAAGAAGGAGAAAATGAAGGAGGAGGAGAAAGGGGGCTGAAGTTATTTAAAAAGTGGGTACAAATTAAAAGTTTTTAAAAAAATGGATATAGGTTAAACGGGGGCGACCAAATAGGGTGCCCCGTGCAATTTTTACAAAACATCTCTACTTCACATAAGGTAAGAGCAACATCTGCGTACACACAACCCTCTCTAGATTTCACTTGTGGGAATACACTAGATATGTTATTGTTATTGTTGGAAGGCCTATTGCCAACGCTACTTTAAAAAAAAAAAGGCTATGTACGACGGTAGTTGATTTCAATATACATGACATTTTAGCAGAAAACCGATGTATGCTTAATTCCTATAGTTAAATTCTGAAAAGCATCAAGAAGTTAAATAATTAAGAAGCAAAGAAGCTTACCTCCTTTCTATTACTGGAGATTCTTGTCTTGATATACACCAAAGCGAGATCTAGGACAATTAATTAGGAGATGTTGGATTAGAGTTGCTTTAAATCAGACTATTTGTGAAGGAAATTAATGAGACAAGGAAAATATATAGGCAAACAGTGTTTATTGACCATTTCCACCACCCTAAATTATAATCATCAAAGGTAATTTAATGGAAATTAATATTGCAATTTCATAGAAACTATCTGACCCGCGTCTTTCAATAGTACTTAATGTATAAACGTTGCATTGTAGCTTGTTAATTGGCCATTGTGACATAATCCGCGGTTAAGTGTTTTTAATAAATCTTGATTTAAGTCATAGTATATAATGTTGATACGTGATTGACTATGTTTTAAAAAGAAAAAAAGAAAGACTATATTTCTTGCCGCCAAAGCAATCTAATCAGTTTAGTCTCAGCTCAGCCTTTGGTTTATCTACAATATATATGATGCGAAAATAGAAAGAAATTAAAATCTTTGCAAGTCATTTGGTTATACACTTATCTCTTTGAGCAAATTAAGGAACGTTGATATCCATCTGAAAGGAGTTAATCCAATTTCACTTGACTGTATACTGAGTCATACATTTACTAGCTCATTTTCATCAACCTTAAATAATGCTGACAACCCAATGACGAGGAGATTCTTTCTCTTTTTTTAAAAAAAAAAATTATTTTAAAAAATGTTTTTCCGACAAACCCTCTTATTTGAAGAATTATATAAGAATCTTCTAAGTTAATTCCTTAAATGGTCACTCAAATTAATAAAATTATCTAGTAATGTCACATATCTTTTTTGGTCACAATAAGTTCATCTAACGAATAATTTGTTTCTTACAGAGTATGCAGCTGGAATAGCTCTTTCAAGTACCAGACCAGATATATGACTTGGCAGGTCATTTAAGATTAAACCCCTTTAACTTCCTGCAAGGGTGATTTACACAAATAGAATCTATGAGGTGCCACCATTTAGATTTTGACCCCATTAACAAAAGTCTTGGAAAAATAGTCTCCGTGTTAGAATTTGACAGTACGCTTCTGGCAATCCCCAGGTTCTTAAAGTGATCGTCATGGTTTCTGGTCAAAAATCGTGGTGATGTTTATAGTGATCATCAGGATTTCTGGACAAATCCCAATGATCATAATAACATGCTTATGGTGATCACTAGACACCAGGGTTTGCTACTGTGAGCACTTGATTTTTGCCCTATATGAAATACTCCTACAGAATCCCAAGGAAATAGATTTTTCTTTTAATTATTTGCCATTTTAGGAATTTTTAAAGAATTTTCTTAATTATTTACATTTTCTGTGCATGATTAATTTTTATTTAACTCATGAAAATATAAAAATACTCTGCATTTGCATTTAGGATTTATTTTTACATTTGTAGGTTAATTAGTAAATTAGTTGTTTTATAAAAATAAAAAATCACAAAAATGACACACTTTGCATTTTTAACCTTTTTAATTTTAAATTTTGTAGTTCTTCTTTTAATTTAGGAGTTAATCAATATTTGTAAATACTATGATGAGTAATTAGCTTAATTTGGTAAATTAATTTAGTTTAAGAGTTAATTTAGGTTTTAAATTAATTTGAAAAGGAAAAAGAAAAATTGAAAATTGAAAATACAACAACAACAACAACCCAGGAAAATCCCACAAGTGGAGTCTGGGGAAGGTAGTATGTACGCAGACCTTACCCCTACCCCAAAGGGGTAGAGAGGCTGTTTCCGAAAGACCCTCGGCTCAAGATAATAAGAAAAACAAGAAAAACAAAAGGGGAGAATATTAGTTTTACCATAGAGATCATAGGAAAAATAGGAACCTAAAATGCATAAGAAAAATACAAGGCAGAAATGATGGCTAGTAAATAGATCTAGCACCGAAAAGAGGAAATATTAAGACACGACAATGCCCCTAGTAATTTTCGATTAAAACCTTACCAGACTAGGCTCACAATGGAACAAAGTAACGCAAGACTCAACTAGCTCCTAGCCTACAACTGTAATACTCGACCTCCACAAATTTCTATCAAGTGT